AAGAAATTAGTGTGTACACTTTAAAAATGCTTTTTGCTATTACTATTTAAAAAATACCGGTAATAAAATAAAAGAGCCCAGCTAAAAAATATATTAAAAAGTTTGTTAAATGGCCGAATGAAATTTTAAAAATTGATTAACCATCCGTTCAAACTTTATTTAAAAAGTAGGTCTGGACTAGTAGTCAATTTTTATATTTAAGTTTTGGAATTTTTGCTATCATAAAATTTATTATTACACATTTCATGCAAATATTTATATCATCCTAAGTTTCGAATCCTATACAATCCTTGAGATATGATCATATGATCATTACAATATATTATTTATTTGTTCTTATGGAGCCAACAATTTATTTTGTTACAGGAACGCTTAAGACAACGACATCATGATTTATACATTTAAGACAAGATTTATTTATTTAAGACAAAAGGTTCAATTATTTATCAGTTTATTTTATTTGTAAATCTTTCATTTATGATTTTTTTTCAAAGTTAAGTCACTTAAATAATAACTTAATTGTAAACAAATTTGCGTCCTCGTATTAAACTATTCTACATTTTGACCAATCCATGAATCAACTATTCTTTCAAGGTCAAGTAAATCTAGAATTCCCCAAATTTCAGTTAAGATTGTTTGGCGAGGTTGCTTAAAATGCTAGGTAAAAAATAAAAGAAAAAGAAAGGCTGAAATACATTTTCAATTGTCAATGTTAATGAAAATAACGAAGCCGAAAATAGGCCGAAAGTTTAAAATGACTTTCGGCCAAAACCGAAAAAGGCCGAAAGTTTAAAAATGACTTTCGGCCGAAACCGAAACAAGGCCGAAAGTTAAAAATGAATTTCGGCCGAAACCGAAGCTAAAACCGAAACCGAAAATGAAATATTAAGATATTCTGAAATTCGTTCCCGCATACATTCTGCATACATCGAAAATGATGTGGGGCAAGTATAAATATTTACATTTTTTAATAAAAAAATGAGATAATCGTGGCTATTAATAAATAAAAATCTAATATAGGGGTCTCAAACTTGCGGCACGCGAGCCATTTGTGACCCGCAAGACGATATTTTGCGGCCCGCTACATGACAGAAAAGTTTAGTGTAAATGCGCCGGCCCGTTTCCCCCATTCTCATATCTATAACGTGACTCTCCGCGACGGTTTCAGTAAAATCTCACGGACTAATTTAATTCTGATTTTTTTTTTTTATGTTTCTATATATTTTTGTATGCAGCAGTGAGTAGGTGGAAGAAAGGGAATCCTAGTTCTTGAGAACCCTTAATGATTTTATTGTTATTTATAAAGGTTGAGCAAATTGTAACAGTTGTAATCGCTTTTTTGTGGATTACTTGATGCGGCCCACTCTCATTCAGACACTACCTCCTGCGTCCCTCCCCCTGATGTTTTGAGTTTGAGACCCTTGATGTAATGAATACTTTGGATTCTACAATTTTAATATAAAAGTAATTACAATCTCTAAAAATTAGTATGGTAGGAGAAAATTTGGCAAACATGGGGAGGGGGGGGGGGCGGAGGAAGGCAAAATTAATGCAAAATATAATTTTTTAAACCGGGTCTCTAAAAATTGTTGTTCTGATCATGGTTCTAAAAGATCGCTTAATTTTGTTCTGAAAGTTCGCTTAATTTGTTTTTAAAGATCGTTTAGTTGGTTGTTATTGATCGGTTAGTTTGTTCTTAAAGATCGGTGAGTTTGTTCATAAAGATCGCTTAGTTTGTTCCAAAATATCGCTTAGTTTAATCTTAAGATCGCTTAATTGGTTCTTAAAGATAGCTTAGTTTGTTGTTAAAGATAGTTTAGTTTGTTCTTAAAGATCGCATAGTTTGTTCCAAAATAATCGCTTAGTTTAATCTTAAAGATAGCTTAATTGGTTCTTAAAGATCGCTTAGTTTGTTGTTAAAGATCCTTTAGTTTGTTCTTCAAGATCACTTAGTTTGTTGTTAAAGATCGTCCAGTTTTTGTGAATGATTGCGGGTGGGGGTCGTCCTGACAAAGGGACATCCCCGACGTGCCGCTCCGCGGCCCGGTACCGGGTTGGGGAGGGGTGTTTTGGGAGGGCATAAAGAGCGCAAGCTCGACGGCCCGATGATGCCATTTCTTAATGTAACATTTCAGTAAGTGTTATACTTCTATGACTCCGATTCCAACCACTAATGCTAAGATTAATTCTTTGATATTTATTACGGGTAGATTGTAAACAGGAGCGTGAAAACCCGTGCTGGGTGTTGTCCACATTGAAACAAGATTTTGAGAGGAATTTTCACTCTGGCCTTGCAGTTATGGCTGTAAATTAAGATTTACATTGAACCTTTTTCTTTTTTTTTGAATTGTTTTATTTACTTGGCATCGCATTTCAGTCAAATTCCAAGATCATGTTTATATTACATGAGCTTTTGAGATTTTTAAATACAGAGCTGTTTGATTAAAATGAATCGACTTTTTTATCAGTGCGGTATGTCCACGTAAAGTTGAAGTTGGGTTTTATACAAAGGTTGAATTAATTTTGACACTTAATGAAAGAACGCGTTCGTATTATAATGCCGAAGTCGCAATTTTACATGATTCTTTTAAAGGATTACTGTTGATCACAAATATTTCTGGTAAACATTGTTAAACTCACGCCATCGATCAGTTTCAATATCGTCCAGGTAAGTGTCCTTGTGGGAACTTCCAGTTTCCAAAGAAAGGAGATAAGTTTCACTATCGTCAAGGTTTGTGTCTTTCAACTTCCAGTTTCCAAAGAAGGGAGATAAATTTCATTATCGTCAAGGTAAGTGTCTTTGTGTGAACGTCCAGTTTCATGATAGGACATCATAGAACATACTTGAACATGATATCACATGATTGTACATGATATCATATAACAGATCACGATATCCCATGATAGTACATCAAAGAACATGACAGAACATGATAGAACATTATAGGACTTCATAGAACATGATTAACATGATAACACACGATAGAACATGACAGCACATGATAGATCAGGACAGTTGATGATGTAACATGATATTATTATTTTTATAAGGTGGTTTTGTATAGCGAAGTACCCTAGCCTAGGGCTAGTCTCACTGCGCTTCACATAAAAATTAGCAATTACATAAACTTATACTTAAAAAGCAACAATTGGGGAAAAGCTTGACCTCACGGCCCAAGTACTATGTACCCCTGTCTAGCCATGGACAGCACCCAGTAGAATCAAGCGTTGTTTATCAGTAAATGTGGGTGAGAATGAATCGGTACAGTTCAGTTTGAAGTGATGTGCATTAGAGGGCAGCTTTAAAGACTGTGATGGTCGTTGTATTGCGGATGTGTAATGGGAGAGAAGTACATTGTGTTGGGACACAGAATGAAAAAGATTGTTCACAATATGTCCACAATATGTTTTTAGTGTGTGTTCTGTGAATAAAAAGAATACGCGTGTCGAAGCTTTTCAACGGGTGAATAGAAAGTAAGAAGTTGAGTAAGATAGAAAGGGCAGGAACTAGAGAAAAAGTTGTGACAGAGAACAGACATCTTGTAATCAATGCAAGCTTGTAACGGGAGCCAATGAAATGAGTGAAGTAGTGGAGTGACGTGATCACATTCTTTGCCTTTAGAACTAACCTGGCAGCAGAGTTTTGAACTTTCTGCAGTTTTTCTATGAAATGTTTTGGTGAACCTGAAAAAAGTTAGTTACAATAGTCAATACGACAGTGAACAAGAGCACAGACTAGTGATATCCTGATAAAAGATGATAGGACAGGACAGATCCAGATTGAACGTAATAGAGCATGATATCACATGATTGAACATGCTAGAATGTCTGGTTTACCAGAGCAAAGCGAATCTCATGTTCATCAGGTCTAAGGCAAATACTGGTTTACCTGGTCTAAGGCAATGTCTGGTTTACCTGGTCTAAGGTAATGTCTGATTTACCTGGTCTAAGGCAATGTCTGGATTGCAAGATCTAAGCCAATGTCTGGTTTACCTGGTCAAAGGTAATATCTGGTTTACCAGGACTAAGCGAATATCATGTTCACCAGGCCTAAGCCAATGTCTCGTTTACCAGGCCTAAGCCAATGTCTGCTTTACCAGGTCTAAGCCAATGTCTGGTTTACAAGGTCTCAGCCAATGTCTGGTTTACCAGGTGTAAGCCAATGTCTGGTTTACCAGGTCTAAGCGAATGTCTGGTTTACCAGGTCTAAGGCAATGTCTGGATTACCAGGTCTAAGCCAATGTCTGGCTGACCAGGTCTAAGCCAATGTCTAGACTTACGAGGCCGATTCTGAAATGGAAGTCTCGGCTGTACTTCTCACCAGAGAACCCTGGCTACTGGTTAAATGTTTCCTTACATAATGCTTTTTTTTTGTCGCAAGGTCTTCCTTTCGCACATCGTCTGCCCGTTTTACTCCTTTATGCACTGCTGTTCGCCAGCTGGAACGGTGATTGGCTCTAGCCTCATGATAATTAAAGCTTGAGTTTAAGGGCTATCAATTATAAATGTTTCTTTTGTTACTTGTTTGTTGTTAAAATTCTTGAGGTAGAAATTAATTTTATTATTATTACTGGAATGTATTCTTTTCTTTCCTCGTTAGAAGATAAAATGTATTTAACTGTGTCTTGTACTCTCTGACTCATGTCTATAATAGAAAAGAATTATTTAGCCCAAATGAATACGTGAATGCCCACAAAATGTCACAATCGAACTAATATAATTTCCTATTTTGAAACGAAATATATTTATTATCCTAATAAATACATTTCCTGGTATCATGCAACATCACCCCTTCCAGGGTTGCAACTAAATTTAAGAACAGTTTGTTAAATTTGAATTACATGACTTTTCCGTAGAAATACGTAAGAATTTTCAAATACCGGTTCAAAAAATATTAAGCTACAACACAAAAACATTGAAACAAAAGTAAACTCAACTTTCTTGATTTTTTAAATGATTGTTTTAAACTTGTTTGACCATTGTTGGTAAATATTTTATCCAGCAGATTTTAAAAATCATCAACATTCAACATGGTTCAGATTCAATACAGTGTAGCTCAAAGAGTTGCCTTTGCTGGGTTAACTCTTGGGTTTTTGATGTGCTTTGCCGGAGTTATACCCCCGTTTTGGGTTACTGCCAAAGTAAGTTGATTTTAATTGTAGTTTATATTTAAAGTAATTTTTTCTATTGAATAATCCATAACCTTAATGGTTTATCACTGAGATTGTTCATAAGGTTTGTCAGCAGAAATTTCATTGAATATTTTAAATCAGTATCGCAATATAAATCTGTTAGTCACATGGATGCTTTTCACGTGATGAATAGATTATGGTAGCAGCTCTACTGAAAAATCATGTGACATAACCTCAGCTGTGTTTGATGGGCCATAAGAAATATGAGTTATAAATTCGTACTGTTCTCTAAGATACATCTGTTATTTTCTGATGATGTCCCCATGACAACAAAATAGAAACAGATGATTAAATTACAAGACTGATGGAGGTTTTCAGATTCTCAGTCGGGAATCCGTTTATCTTTTATTCTAAACTTTCCTGAATGATTTATACAATATAACTGGTTTTGTGTTTATTAGTAATACTGTTGGTTGAAATCTTTGTATTATCTAAGGTTCGGGGGGGGGGGTGGGGGGGGGGGGGGCGCGACATCAGTGCTCAATAAAAAAATAGCACAAATATATCAGATTAACAAGGGTCCTATTAGCACCCATTCACCAGGGGTCCCCTTCGCATCCGGTCACCAGGGGTCCCCTTCACATCCGGTCACCAGGGGTCCCTTTAGCACCCCGTCTCCAGCGAGCCTAAACTTTTTACCAAAGGCCATAAGTTTTTTCAGATTAAAATGTTCTAAAATCATTCTACTGGCTCCTGAAAAGTTTATACTTTTTTATACTGTTGTGTTCAGTTAAGTAGTCAAACTTTCTATCTTTCTATAGTTCAATCTTTCTATCTTTCTATAGTTCAAGCTTTCTACAGTTCAATCTTTCTACAGTTCAATCTTTGTATAGTTATATCTTTCTACAGTTCAATCTTTCTATAGTTATATTACATCAAGAAATGGCGTCAGCGGGGCGAGTTTACACTCTTATGCCCCCCCCCCAATTACCCTCCCCGGTCCGACGTATCGGGCCACTGAGCGGCACGCTGGAGATGCCCACACGTCAGGACGGCCCCCACCCGGGCCCCTCACCCAAGTCCCCCACCTGGGCGCTCGACCAGGACCTCACCTGAGGGCCGCCCCAACCCGGTCGATCCGACACTATGCGCTTAAATAGTGCACTCGATCGACTTTCTCAGGAGTTGGGATGGAAAATTTACATCCTCATATCTTCCCCCACCCATCCCGGGAAAGCGTCGGACGCCCTATAAGAGGGATTCCACAGTGGGTTTCCAAAACGCAACTAGTTCACGCTGTAGCTGGGACGAAACGGTTGCCTATGGACAGCTTTCTCACGGCTGTGTTATTTGAATCCTCTTTACAGTTCAATCTTTCTATAGTTCTATCTTTCTATAGTTCAATCTTTCTATAGTTCAATCTTTCTATAGTTCAATCTTTCTATAGTTCAATCTTTCTATCTTTCTATAGTTCAATCTTTCTATAGTTCAATCTTTCTATCTTTCTATAGTTCAATCTTTCTATAGTTCAATCTTTCTATCTTTCTATAGTTCAATCTTTCTATAGTTCAATCTTTCTATAGTTCAATCTTTCTATAGTTCAATCTTTCTATCTTTCTATAGTTCAATCTTTCTATAGTTCAATCTTTCTATAGTTCAATCTTTCTATAGTTCAATATTTCTATAGTTCAATCTTTCTATAGTTCAATCTTTCTATAGTTCAATCTTTCTATAGTTCAATCTTTCTATAGTTCAATCTTTCTATAGTTCAATCTTTCTATAGTTCAATATTTCTATAGTTCAATTTTTCTATCTTTCACCTCATCCTCAAGACTCCCCACACTTATTAAATTTTAAAAATAGTCTGTTCATTACTGCTGACTTCTAGTGCACAGACACCTGAATGCTGACTTCTAGTGCACAGACACCTGACTGCTGACTTCTCGTGCACATGCACCTGACTGCTGACTTCTCATGCACAGACAACTGACTGCTGACTTCTCGTGCACAGACACCTGACTGCTGACTTCTAGTGCACAGACACCTGACTGCTGACTTCTCGTGCACATGCACCTGACTGCTGACTTCTCGTGCACAGACAACTGACTGCTGACTTCTCGTGCACATGCACCTGACTGCTGACTTCTCGTGCACAGACAACTGACTGCTGACTTCTCGTGCACAGACACCTGACTGCTGACTTCTAGTGCACAGACACCTGACTGCTGACTTCTCGTGCACATGCACCTGACTGCTGACTTCTCGTGCACAGACAACTGACTGCTGACTTCTAGTGCACAGACACCTGACTGCTGACTTCTCGTGCACATGCACCTGACTGCTGACTTCTCGTGCACATGCACCTGAATGCTGACTTCTAGTGCACAGACACCTGACTGCTGACTTCTAGTGCACATACATCTGGCTGCTGACTTCTCGTGCACAGACACTTGACTGCTGACTTCTCGTGCACAGACAACTGACTGCTGACTTCTAGTGCACAGACACCTGACTGCTGACTTCTCGTGCACATGCACCTGACTGCTGACTTCTCGTGCACATGCACCTGACTGCTGACTTCTAGTGCACAGACAACTGACTGCTGACTTCTAGTGCACAGACACCTGACTGCTGACTTCTCGTGCACAGACACCTGACTGCTGACTTCTCGTGCACAGACAACTGACTGCTGACTTCTCGTGCACAGACACCTGACTGCTGACTTCTAGTGCACAGACCACTGATTGCTGACTTCTATTGCATAGGCACCTGACTGCTGACTTCTAGTGCACATACACCTGACTGAAAAATAAGCTCTCTCCCACCAACAAGCCATCCACCTCCCCTAGTGCAATCAACGTTTTTTTAAACGCAGACAACGTAATTAATTGCTCAATCTATTGGTAGACTCCAGTCAACATAATTGCCTAAAGACTCTATTGGTTGACTCCAGACAACATAATTATTGGTAGAGTCCAGACAACATAATTACCTAAACACTCTATTGGTAGACTCCAGTCAAAAAGTTGTATTGAGGCAAGCTAAATTTAATTTCTGAAAGGAAAAAAAAAAATTAAAATATCGTTACAAAAATTAAAATATCTTTGCAACAATAATTTTTATCTGATACAAATCCTAAATAAAAAATATTCATGAATTTTTCATAGATTGATAATTTTATAAAACTTAAAATAATTGATTATATTAATTTGACACATAATTGTTTGATTTGACATTAATTTTGTTTCAGTTGTCACCTAATATTTTAACACAATATTTTGGCGTAAGTATTCCTATAATCGGTAGCATTGAATTGATTTCCATGAATGGAGGTTTGTGGTGGTATTGTGTAGATGTCGTAACTCGAGACAGTGTATGCGATGTAAACTCAATGGATTTTAGCGAGGGTAAGTAAACTTTCCTACATGAGTCAGCTGTTTGTGATAAGCCAGCTAAAACAGATTTTTGTTTTTGTCAGGTTTAAGCGCCCTCTCCTATGTTTTTTCTGTTTTAGGTAGGATATATATATTGACATTATGTAAATTTAATTTATACTTATTTAAATGTGTTGTGTTTGTTTGTACTGATGAAGGCATGTGCCGAAACGTTTAATTCTGTATAATGTACAATTATTATTAAAGCTAACTCATATTGTTCTATTGACACAATTTGTTCGTGTCTTATTAATATATTTTAAAGCTTTATTGCAGTCCAACACTTTTTATAATTAGTTAACTTGACTTAATTCTGACTGCTACTATTTATATGTACCTGTCTTCTGTCATTTTATTACTAGTTTATTTTGACATACTAGTGCAATTTTTTTTCTAATTGTTTTTATTATGTAAATTTAATTTATACTTATTTAAATGTGTTGTGTTTGTTTGTACTGATGAAGGCATGTGCCGAAACGTTTAATTCTGTATAATGTACAATTATTATTAAAGCTAACTCATATTGTTCTATTGACACAATTTGTTCGTGTCTTATTAATATATTTTAAAGCTTTATTGCAGTCCAACACTTTTTATAAAACAGATAGGTCAACCATTTCTGATATTTCAACTATTACTGATAATTTAACCATTACTGATATGTCAACTGGTTCTGATAAGTCAAATGGGACTGATAAGTCAACTAGGACTGAAAGACAATTGTATGATATTGATAAGTCAGCTAGTAGTGATAAATAATAATAATAATAATAATAGAGTTCATTTCAAAAACACAATAGACAAGTGCATATAAGCAAACTAGTGCTGATTTAGACCTATCACCTTTAAAACTTTGGTATGTTAATAATGATCTTTTAAAGAATCCTTCTGTTCAGTTTATTAATTTAGATATTTGAAAACTAAGGCATTAAATAAAAAATTAAGTAACAAAAATATAAAATCAAATGTTGGATTATTGAGTTAATTAAAAATTGTATTGTTATTTTTTTTTATTAATGACATTTAAATAAAATATTTTTAAAGATATGCCTGATGTTAGGTGTATAAGCAACCCTTTTTCGAAAATGTTAAGTTTTTAACAAAGGGATGATGCATAAATAAATAAATATATAAATAATAATTTTAAAAAATATAAGGGATGTTTCGTATAGTACACACTATTTAATTAAATTTCAGTAACTATTATGTCAGTAGGTTATTTTCGCACATGATGTAAAACTTTATTCAAAGTGTAATCACATATACAATAAGGGATCACAAAAACAGTTTAAGATAAAAAAAATACAGTATGCGATCACAGATTCAGTTTAATGTTGCAAATACAATAAGATCAGAAATACAATGAGAGATAAAAAATACATTGTGAGAAAACAAATACAATAAAAGATCAGAAATACAATGATAGATCACAAATGCAATAATGGATAACTAATACAATATGAGATCACAAATACCTTGTGAGATCACAAACAAAATGAGAGATAACAAAACAATGTGAGGTCACAAATACAATGAGAGATAAAAAATACAGTATGAGATCACAAATACAATTAGAGATCACAAATACAATGAGAGATCACAAATACAATGAGAGATCACAAATACAATGAGAGATCACAAATACAATGAGAGATCAAGAATAAAATGAGAGATCACAAATACAATGAGAGATCAAATACAATTAGAGATAAAAAATACAATGAGAGATAACAAATACAATGAGAGATCACAAATACAATGAGAGATCAAATACAATTAGAGATAAAAATACAATGAGAGATAACAAATACAGTGAGAGATCACAAATACAATGAGAGATAACAAATACAATGAGATATAAAAAATACAGTGTGAGATCCCAAATACCATGAGAGATCACAAATACAATGAGAGATAACAAATACAGTGTGAGATTACAAATACAATAAGAGATAACAAATACAATGAGAAATAAAAAATACAGTGTGAGATTACAAATACAATGAGCGATAACAAATACCGTGTAAGATCCCAAATACCATGAGAGATCACAAATACAATGAGAGATCCCAAATACCATGAGAGATCACAAATACAATGAGAGATAACAAATACAGTGTGAGATTACAAATACAATAAGAGATAACAAATACAATGAGAAATAAAAAATACAGTGTGAGATTACAAATACAATGAGCGATAACAAATACAGTGTAAGATCCCAAATTCCATGAGAGATCACAAATACAATGAGAGATAACAATTACAGTGTGAGATCATAAATACAATGAGAGGTAACAAATACAGTGTGAGATAACAGATATAATACGACGACGACTATTCAGGCTCACCATGTTGTACAAGATAACAAATGGGCTGGTCCACTGCTCCGGAATCAAACAGAAACTCGTTCATCTTCCCCCCAGACTGCGACGAAGCCACGACAGACAGTTCCGGCTGGTAAAAACAGAAACAAAGTACAGAAGCTCCTCATTCCTGCCGAAGACAATAGGGGACTGGAACAAGCTTCCAAAAGAAACAGTTGAGGCATCTACACTCGACACATTTGTGTTTATTGCCTCCTGTATTCCAACCCACAGTTCATAACACCACTGCTGAGTTGCCCTTGCAACTAGTGAAGTATCCCATTGAAACCCATGAACAGTAACATCGCAAACCCCTCTGACACATAGGAGCCAGAATGATCAATTCATTGATCTTGGGCCCTTAAAATAAAGAAAAAGAAGAAGATAACAAATAGGCCTACAATGTGAGATCACAAATACAGTGTGAGATCAGAAATACAATGTTAGATCACAAATGGAATGAGAGATAACAAATACAATGAGAGATAACAACTACAATGAGAGATAACAAATACAATGAGAGATAACAAATACAGTGTGAGATGAAAAATACAGTAAGAGATAACAAATACAATGTGGGATCACAAATACAGTGTGAAATTACAAATACAATGAGAGATAACAAATACAGTGTGAGATGACAAATACAATAAGAGATAACAAATACAATAAGAGATAACAAATACCTTGGGAAATTATAAAATACATTGATTGATAACAAATACAGTGTGAGATGACAAATAAAATAAGAGATTACAAATACAATTAGAGATTACAAATACGATGAGAGATAACAAATACATTGTGAGATGACAAATACAATGAAAGATTAAAAATACAATCTGAGATTACAAACACAATGAGAGATTACAAATACAATGAGAGATAACAATTACATTGTGAGATCACAAATACAATGAGAGATAACAAATACAGTTTGAGATTATAAATACAATGAGAGATAACAAATACAGTGTGAGATTACAAATACAATGAGAGATAACAAATACAGTGTGAGATCACATATACAATGAGAGATAACAAATACAGTGTGAGATAACAAATACAATAAGAGTAACAAATACAGTGTGAGATGGCTAATACAATGAGAGATTACAAATACAGTGCGAGATTACAAATACAATAATAGATTACAAATACAGTGAGAGATAACAAATACAGTTTGAGATTATAAATACAAAGAGAGATAAGAAATACAGTGTGAGATCACAAATAGAATGAGAGATAACAAATACAGTGTGTAATTACAAATACAATGAGAGATAACAAATATGGTGGGAGATTACAAATGTAATGAGAGATAACAAATACAATGAGAGATAACAAATACAATGAGATATAACAAATACACTCTCAGATCACAAATACAATGAGAGATAACAAATACACTCTCAGATCACAAATACAATGAGAGATAACAAATACAGTGTGAGATCACAAATAGAATAAGAGTAACAAATACAGTGTGAGATTACAAATACAATGAAAGATCCATAAAAGTACTTACCTTATCGAGAACAACATATCTACGTTAATTTACCATAAGAAACAGATATTCACAGTTTCCTTTTAAATTTCTTATTCGATCCTCATTCATTAAAAAAATATCAATTTTTATCACAGTGGCATAGACTGAGAAGACTTTGTGGCCATGGTGAGGATTTGGGGGGAAAATACGGCTGAAAGGTTAATTTTTTTCCAACGCTATAGCCTGAGACAATTTTAAAAGCAGCTGTCACTCGAATTAAAGGCATGACTGGGCAGGATTATTTTAAAGCTATTCATTCTGACACCAGGGATAGGTCTAAATTTATTTTAACTTTTCATCCCCATTACCTTAAATCTCGTTGTCTGGCCCTCAAACACCATTCCATTCATATGGCAGACCCTGTCTCGTTGTCTGGCTCTCAAACACCATTCCATTCTTATGGCAGACCCTGTCTCGTTGTCTGGCTCTCAAACACCATTCCATTCTTATGGCAGACCCAGTCTCGTTGTCTGGCTGAGACAAAAGTCTGATCTTAGAGTACGCAACAAAAGTCTGATCTAAGAGTATGCAACAAAAGTCCGATCTAAGAGTATGCAACAAAAGTCTGATCTAAGAGTATGCAACAAAAGTCTGATCTAAGAGTATGCAACAAAAGTCTGATCGAAGAGTATGCAACACTGGTCTGATCTAAGGGTATGCAACAAAAGTCTGATCTAACAGTATGCAACAAAAGTCTGATCTAACAGTATGCAACGAAAACCGATACCAAAGCCAGTGATACTAAATTGAAATTTAATTATATAAATACTTTTTTATGCAAATACAAGTGTGAGTACAAAAACAAAAAGCATATACACTTAGAGCTACAGCAAAGGGAAAATAAAGGTACAATGCTCAAACCACAACGAAACCATGCAGCTTTATATAGGAATTAAATCCGAACGTTCTAGTAGAGAAACAACCAGATATTGCGTCAAATAATGGATTTCTGGAGATAACATTTAAAGCATTCGAATTCAAATGTAAACTGTGAGGGTATCAGTACCCCGTGACATCGGTTTCAAGGCAATTCTACTCGCAGACAGTTGTGGTGGCTAAAAATAACTGTGTTGAAGTGAAAATCAAGCTATACTCTATACTAGTGGAGAGAAGTGCTATAAATAGCTAAGTGGACGGTCAAAAATAAGTCCAGCCCAACGTTTTACTAAGCTATATATATTTATCACCAGTTCTAATTGTCGGTTTATTATTTTTTCCAACTGAGATTATTGACTATTTTTAAAATTATCATATTGTAAGGGAACCTTGCTTACTCTCTGATTAACTTCATCTAGATCTGGTACTCAATAAGGAAACAACTCCGGTGATACATTTGATGATTAAACACGTGTTCTTTATTGGCTGTCACTTGCTTACACTTTCACTCGTCTCACAACTCTGACTTCTCCCTCTATCTAGTTCTCAGTCCGGCTGCCTTCTAATTTCGTCCCGTCCAGAGTTCCCTATTTATACCTCCCCGTCCCATAGTTCCTCTCCCAGTCCCGATTATACCCCGCCCCCTGTTTCTCAATTGTCGCCATGGTCTAGACGTCCCAGGTAAATGCCCTGGTCAGATGGATGGCCGATACCGCCCCCCAGCGCTTGATCCTTCGGTCGTGTCTGGGTGTAAGAGGGCCGTAAATGGTCAGGCGTTTGATCCTTGTCTGGGTGGTCAGACGGCCGTAATCCCTGATGACCGGTAATCTGTCCGGCGCCGGCGCTCGTGCGTGGTCCGACTCTCCACAATATTTCATATCATCGATTCTCATTCTAAAATACCAGTTTAATCAAAATAAATGGTTGGTTTTCAAATTCTACAAAGCCCATTTTCCAATAGCCCTTCCCCCCACCCCCAAACGTCATACTGCACCATGTGGGCATAGGCCCCACTTTGGGAAACATTGGTTTAGAATGTATTACAAATAGGGGTCATATCCTTTGGGGGGGGGGATTAAAGGGGTAGTGTGGGAACTCACCCAAGATCTTCCCAAAATACATATTTATTTTAAAAAAATAAATTTCTTTCTTTCTTATCAAACAGATTACAGAATCATTTTTCTCGTGCGTCTCTGCAGGATACAATCCCTGAGAGTAAAAAAAAATAAAAACCGGTTACAAAATAAGAGTGTATACAGTAGATTCACAAATGTCATAGATTCACAAATGTCATAGATTCACAAATGTCATTGACTCACAAATGTCATAGACTCACAAATGTCATAGATTCACAAATGTCATAGACTCACAAATGTCATAGACTCACAAATGTCATAGATTCACAAATGTCATAGACTCACAAATGTCATAGACTCACAAATGTCATAGATTCACAAATGTCATAGATTCACAAATGTCATAGATTCACAAATGTCATAGACTCACAAATGTCATAGACTCACAAATGTCATAGATTCACAAATGTCATAGATTCACAAATGTCATAGATTCACAAATGTCATTGACTCACAAATGTCATAGATTCACAAATGTCATAGACTCACAAATGTCATAGATTCACAAATGTCATAGATTCACAAATGTCATAGATTCACAAATGTCATAGATTCACAAATGTCATAGATTCACAAATGTCATAGACTCACAAATGTCATAGACTCACAAATGTCATAGATTCACAAATGTCATAGATTCACAAATGTCATTGACTCACAAATGTCATAGACTCACAAATGCCATAGATTCACAAATGTCATAGACTCACAAATGTCATAGATTCACAAATGTCATTGACTCACACATGTCATAGACTCACAAATGTCCTAGACTCACAAATGTCATAGACTCACAAATGTCATAGACTCACAAATGTCATAGATTCACAAATGTCATAGACTCACAAATGTCATAGATTCACAAATGTCATAGATTCACAAATGTCATAGACTCACAAATGTCATAGATTCACAAATGTCATAGACTCACAAATGTCATAGATTCACAAATGTCATTGACTCACACATGTCATAGACTCACAAATGTCATAGACTCACAAATGTCATAGACTCACAAATGTCATAGACTCACAAATGTCATAGACTCACAAATGTCATAGACTCACAAATGTCATAGATTCACAAATGTCATAGACTCACAAATGTCATAGATTCACAAATGTCATTGACTCACACATGTCATAGACTCACAAATGTCATAGACTCACAAATGTCATAGACTCACAAATGTCATAGACTCACAAATGTCATAGACTCACAAATGTCATAGATTCACAAATGTCATAGACTCACAAATGTCATAGATTCACAAATGTCATAGACTCACAAATGTCATAGATTCACAAATGTCATAGACTCACAAATGTCATAGATTCACAAATGTCATAGACTCACACATGTCATAGACTCACAAATGTCATAGATTCACAAATGTCATAGACTCACAAATGTCATAGACTCACAAATGTCATAGACTCACAAATGTCATAGACTCACAAATGTCTTTTGTGTACAATTTCAGTTGGCGCTTGGGTCATGCGAGTGTGTTCTGTAGTGAATTTGATTTTGTCTTTGGTGTGTGCCCTTGTAGCCCTTTGTAGAAGTTGTTGCTGTTGTGGTGGCAAGACTGTCTGTCATGGAGTTATGACATTCTTTGCTGGTAAGTATAAACGAATAACTTGGTCTTTTACCTTGCTGAACACTTTGGGCATCTCCAGCCTTATGTTGGTCTTTTACCTTGCTGAACACTTTGGGCATCTCCAGCCTTATGTTGGTCTCTTAACTTGCGAATCTTCCAGTCTTCAGATATTTGATGACAATCTTCTCCATCAATATACCCACAAGGTATGGTATTCACTTTTATTTAGCCAATGGCGGACAAACAATTGAACCCAGGGATCATGGCAGTTAACGGGTTACATATACTTAAGATGTCCTGGGTTCAATAGTTTATCTAGCCATAGCTACGTAAAAGTTAATTTCATACCTTGGGATATTACCCCGAATGTGGGCATAATGTACATTAAACCGTCTAGTGGCGTCACCTGCGATCTACTTAGGAAAAAACAATATGCATATTACTCACCAGGGTCGCGCCTATGATGCGGATGCTAGATTTATTTCGTGCATACAGTTGGCTTGCCTCGCGAGATGACTCTTCTGGTTGAGGCATCTATTTTGATCACGTGAATGGAATATCTGTTTTGTTTGCAGAACAAGTGTTTATCCATGATGCTCCTTTCCATTATTAGTCATTTATCTTGATGATTGTTAAGTGTTTAGTTCTATATTTGTACTTTTTCATTCAGGTTTGAGTTTTGGTGGCTATTGTAGACCGACTTATCTTGATCCCTATTTGGGGATCATATCTGATAATGACTTGAATTTTGCAAATATTCCATATTTGGATTTTACAGTAAATAGCTCAAGGGGGGGGGGGGGGGGGGGGCTCCTTTCTTTTAAAGAAATGGATGATATTATAAATGACTTTTCTGAGTTTTGTTGAAGAAGAGAATGACAGTGGTCCTATAGTTATCGTGAAACTTCCTCCAGATGAGTTTAAGGAGCTTCAGACAACGAAGATATTGATGACAACATAATTGATGATGATGTATTGGTCGATTTTCTGCTTACAAACAGGCAATTGTAACCAGATGCAAGTCTATGAAGGCAAGGCAGGTAATGATGATAAGCCAGGCGTGTCCGGACATGGGGAATATGTTGTTTTAAAAATGATTTCGATTTTAGAGACATCAAATGTTCACTAAATTTATTTTGACACTTTCTTATTCTTCTTCTATACATTTCAGGGCCAACGATCAATTTATTGATTGTTTTGGCTCCTATGCATGTAGAGGGGATTTGCAATGTTTCTGTGCCTGGTGTTGATGTGGATATTTCACTGGTTGCAAGGGCTACTTACTGAGGGTGTCATGCACTGGGGGTTGGAAGGCAATAGACGCAAATGTGTTTAGTGTTGTCGCCCCAACTGTTTCCTTTTGAAAGATTGTTCCAGTCCCTGATTGTCTTTGGCAGGAATGAGCAGTTCCTGTACTGGCTTCTTCATGGCCTCGTCGCTGTCTATGGGGGAGAGGGCCAAGTTTCTGTTTAATATTGGAACAGTGGACCATTCCATTATTTATCTTGTACATCATGGAGAGCTTGGATTGTCGTCGTCGTTCCTCCAATGGTGACCAGTCTAATGTTTCCAGCATGCTGCCAACACTAAAGGTATTCCTGTAGTGGTTCAGGACAAAGTGTGCTGCTCGTCGCTGGACCACCTCCATCCTGTCAATGCTCTTCTGGGTAAATGGGTCCCACACTGAAGATGCATAGTTTAAAAACAGATGGACAAAGGTTTTATAGGCTCTTTATTTCACACTGAAGTTTCCAATCTTTAGATTACGCCTTAAGAATCCCAGGATCTTGTTGGCCTGGTTGCACGCATTTTTTATTTAATCGTCCCAGCAGACCTCTCTTTGAAAGGAAACACCCAGGTATTTTACGGAGGAAACTGGCTTAAGTATATGGCCATGCAGTTGGTATTGGTAGTGTAGAGGAGTACAACTTCTAGAGACTTACAGTATCTGGCACTTGGCAGGCTGAAATTCCTGTCCCAGCTCATCTCCCACGAAGCTAACCGATTGAGATCCTGTTGTAGCTGGTCCTGGTCAGATCTTTTGGCAATCGTCCTATACACCGCTGTGTCATCTGCGAACAGTCTTGCTTGGGATGACAGTTTCTCTGGTAGGTCATTGATGTATGCAAGGACCAAACAAGGGCCTAGCACTGATCCCTGGGATCCCCCTGACTTAACACCGACAAAGGAGGAGCTTGTACCGTCCACCACTACTGCTTGGCATCGGTCCAAAGGAAGCTATAGTAGAGATCCATCCTTTAGTAGTGCCTTTGATCCGATATCTCTGAAGTTTGTGTAGAAGCAAACTATGATTGACGTGGTCAAATGCTTTTGAGAATTCCATCACCAGCAAGCAAGTTTGCTTGCTATTCTACAGATTTTTCATCAAGTCTTTAACTAATTCAAGGAGCTGGGTCTCACATGATCTATTGACTCGGAAGCCATGTTGACAGTCATTGCGTATATTTTGGCTTTCAAGATGCTTCTTGACTGCGCTTACGATTATTTGCTCCAACAGTTTGCAGACCACGCTGGTGATGGATCTCGGACGATAGTTGGCAGGGTCGGAATGCTCCCCTTTCTTGTAGATTGGAGTGACATGCGCTTTTCTCCTGTCTGATGGAACATTGCCTTTGCACAGTGACGATTGGAAGAGGCTTGTCAGTGCAGGAGCGATTTCTTTGGTTAATTCTTTGAACACTCTTGATTTGATATTGTCAGGACCACATGCTTTGTAGGGGTTAATGATTTTGAGGAGGGAAAGCACACCCTCCGCTGAAATCTGGATTTCTTCCTCGAAAGGGTAGGCTTTGTTCATCATGTTTCGCTTCAGAAGGAACTCAGCCTCCGAGTACTCTCTACCGTCATCAAAGACTAACTGGAACTTCTGATTGAGAATATTTGCCTGCATGTGTTTTTGTTTTAGATGTCAAATGGCCATTCATCCTTAGTGGGGAAACTCCAGCGTTTGAGGACTTATGATGCTTCACAAAGCTCTGGAAGCGCTTGTTCCTGACACCATTGGTCGTACGACTGACAAGGACATACAGAAAAGAACTGCTACTGCTTTGCTTCCCAGAAGGAAATGTGGGTGTCACTTGGAACTACAACAGCTATGTAGAGTTGCTCAGCAACAATGATACCATAGACCCAATGTCACAGATGAAGCGATAGAGTAGGGCTAATAAGAAAGAGATTCAAGTCTAACAACTGACATTGATAATATGCCATCATACCATCAGGCTATCAGTCCCCAACAGGTAATTTGAACACATTTGTTAGACAGGTAACATGAACCGAGTTGGTGGACACGTAATTTTAACAGATTAGGTAGACAGGTAATGTGAACAGATTTGGAGGGCAGGTAATCTGAACAGATTTGGTAGGCAGGTTTAATGAACAGGATAATAAATGAAGGACAAAGTTCAAGCTGTGTAAAGGAAATAGTGGAACAAGGCATGTGGGAATATTGTGGACGCTTGAAGCAGAAAGTTAAGACATGAAAGAAGAACGGTGCGTCTAAAATCTCTCCTCCGCAGACATGACAAAGAAAGAAACATCAAGAAATAAAAAGTTGTTCAGAAACTTTAGTGTTCGCCATTCATGTCATTTCCAGATCTCAAGATGTCATCTAATTTTAAAAAAAAATAAATGCAAATCAGCTTACAATACAAAATCAAATTTAAAGGGGATATAATCTAGATTTAACGGGGTTGTGTTCCCTTGTCTTTACAGGTGCTGCAGGTGTCGCTGTGGTAGTGCTGTTTTCTCAGTCCATGGAAGATCTATTTTTTTTCCAGTTATCTCTGGCCCAGTACGGCTGGGCTTTCTACGTATACATTGTAGGATCGGCTCTTATGACCATCATGTCATTTGTGCTCTGCTTTGCTCCACCCACGAATCCCTCCACTCCAATGGTATGTATAGTGTCTTTAGTGTACACAATTGGGTCAAGTGTTAGCCATTAATTTACATAGCTCATGCAATCACCAGCTTTGGAAAATCCCGCTCAATGACCGAGCGTCGTTTTCATGTCAGTTTTCTTTTTTGAGTTGTTAGCGTAATACAATTGGTACCGAATGTTTGGATTTTGTTGTTGTAAAATGACAAGTCAGACTTGTGGGTTGAAATGTTGCAACATAAAGCACAAATTCTTGGTGGTGTACATTGTGCATTTAAACTCATTTAGTTGTAAAAGGTGTCTGTTTAATATTTATATAAAACTTGTGCATTCATAGGGCCAAGATTTCAAAGTTATTCTTTTTTTTCCCTTCTGTCTATTTAAAAAAAAAATGAAAGTTCAATTAAATTCAATGACATTAATGATACTTAAATAGTATTTTTTACTGTGTAGCTTATTAAAATGAATCAATTAAGTACATCTGGACTTTTTAAAGTGCATGCGTGTTTCAAGAAAATATATGTCACAACCTCTCTTTGTGGTTGTTTATTGATGCATTTTTTTTTACTCCTCTCCACAACACAGATTTTCAATGGCGTTGGCCAAGTGCCCACTGGGATTCAACCGATGACCAATGTCCAGATTAACCAGCCCGTCAGTTTGCAAAATAACATGGTGAATCCTTAACCCTCTCCCAGTCGCTGCTAGAGGTCAAGGACATGCATTGGGCACAGTGACAGCTAGTTTGTGTTATTTGGGACTTCTCATTGTTAAGGACTTGAATATATTGTGTGATTGAGTGTTTTTTTTAGAGATTATGTGTGTTGTGTTATCTATTATTCTTATTATCTTGTGACGTATTGTGTGAAAGGGGATATGACGTAGTATTATTGTAGAGTGTGGTCTTGTGAGTAATGGCAGTTCAAGATGTAGATTTATTCGTTAATAAAGATATTTAATATGAGAATAATGGTTTGTGAAGTGTATATAATTAAACCCTAGACAGAGCGAAGCCAACGAACCTTTTAAGTAAGACCAGGTTCGTAACATTTTGGGAGGTTCGTCTGAGATTGGGCTCCTACATCCTGCCGTGCCTGCATGCTGATGTATATGTGTGCTGCTGGTCCTGTGTCCCACTGGGTTTGTATCCTGCTGTCCTGCATCCTGCAATCATTGACTGTTTCTGTGCTGTTCCCCGGTTTGACGGTAAACCGCTGCCTGGCCTGTATCCTGCTGGGTCCGTATCCCACTGGGCCTGCATCCTTCGATCACCAAATGCTGCTGTGCTGTTCCCCCGTTTGACGGTAAACCACTGCCTGGCCTGTATCCTGCTTGGGCCCGTATCACACTGTGACTACATCCTAACGTTACTGTTTGTTGCTGTGCACTGTGCTGTACCCCTATTTGACAGTATACCACTGACCGTTCAATACATTAGTGACAAGACCAAGACCGGTGGTCCAGAGACCCGTGATGAAAAAGATAGTCTTTAGTTACTTACTTTGTCTTTTCTTTATAGTTACTTCAGAATTGTATTTCTGTAAATAGATAGATATGTTATTTTTGTGTTATATAACATATTTAATTTTATTATTTTAGACTGTTGTTTTTACCCTACCCTGGTGGTTAACTTTATGAATTAAGAAAATGGGAACGACGAGTGTCGATGAAACAGTGATCTTAGAACTACGGAAGTTTGGAGAGGACCTGGGTTATAAAGACGAGGCTCTTATTAGGTTGGTCGAAAACAAGCTGATAGAAAAAGATAGACTAGGGGGGGGGGGGGGGGGGTGAGTGGTAAAGAACGAGATAGACAAGCTGGGCTAGAACGGGAAAAACGGGTTAGACAAGATAGGCCAGAACAGCTGGCCTAAGAGCCAGCACAGGCAGAGTTAAAATTGCAGGACAAACATACTATGTGGAGAGAGAGGAATTAAGTAAAAAAAAACAAGTGGCTGAAGTTGAGAAATGGAAAAGGGAGAGACGGAGAGATGAGATTCATGTGGTTAAGGAAACCGGGAGGCAGTGGGTGAAAGTTGAAAAGAGTAAATTTATTTTTGAAAATGAGCTTAAGGAAAATATTAACGAAGTTGTGGAGGAACTTAGGTATCCTGGGGAATTTAATACCAATGTAACTGGGGATAGGGAGAACGATTTGCGTATAGTGGCAATTAACGAGTTAAGTTTAAATGACCACCTGGTTGAGGTTAAGGAGGACACGAATAGTTTCAATGTAGCTGATAGTCAGGAGTCAGTTGGGAATTTTGCTAGCCAGGATGTAGAAAAACTTGGGGCTGAGTGTGGTAAAGTTGATCCAATCTTTAAAATGTGTATTCCAGTAATTTAACATTTCTAGCTTCTAGTTTTCTTTTAAACCCCAATTATGACCAAATCATCCAATTTAATTATATAAAGAATTTTTTTTTTTAAACTTCAAGTCTAAAATCAATCTTTTGGACCATTCAAGCACACACAAAAATATTAGACAGGTCAAAGATGGTGGCTTGGAAGCAAACGTTTTTTTAAAAACAAAAAAATCTCCTTTCTGTTTTTTCTACAAGGAATTATTTTAGATGAGCCAGTGCCTTTCGGACTAATAGGTCTATAAATGTATTTGTGCCAGTTCAAACTTATAAAAAAAGAAGAAAAAAACGTTAATTTTTATATATATGTTACCGGCAATGTGTGAAATCCGGCATTTTATATAATGCCAAGGAATTATATAGAATGCCTGAAATTTGCAGGCAAAGTATGAAATGGTTTTTAATTCACACATTTCCTAGGCATTCTATACAATGCCGAAGAGCAGCCCGGCAATGTATAGATTACCCCGCCATTCATGTTTGATTCTTTGCTCATCGGTGACCTCCCCTTGACGTCTTGCGAGCCATACAGGCAGGAAGAACTCGATAAAATAATAGAAATCGTACAAACAACACAGCAGGAAGAAACAAATCAACAGATGCAAGGTACAGAGCCTACTACACAGAATACTGAAGAGAATGCAACCAATAATGGAGAAAACCAAACCGATTGTAACGGCATAGTTACCGAAGACCATTCCACTTCTGCTGTTTGCTGTGTCTGCTTAAAAGAAAGCAGCGGTGCCCATACATGCTGAAACTGTCGCCGTAATGTTTTTGCTATCCGTGGCAATGCTGCTTAAGACGACGGAGGCGAGGAAATAGAAGGTTATGGTATTAGGATTTTGTGAAGCCTGTGTTTCAAGGTTAATCGAGCTGTAGAAGCTAGAAAAGAATCTAAATCGAACCTTGAAATCCAGGCCAAAAAATGAAAATAAACTCTTTAAAAGTCACTGTGCGAGTTCCTATTCCTTACATTCACAAGGGACGGGGTGATTTGCATCTGATAGTAGTTGTTATGACAGTTACAGAAGACGGCTTTTATCGATTTGGAACTGCGCAAGGTATCTTGAAACAACTGCAGGCGAGATCAGAGTTCGATGTATGTCCATAGAACTTATTGGGAGTTGACAGACGTCCCTGAACATAAAATACCTCTCCGATATGCTGCTATCTCTCATTCAACAGGAAGCGATCTTCGTATGTGCAAGACCAAATGCCCCAAAACATGGTGTCTTTGTATGAAAAAGAACATTAAGTGCCATTCAAAATTTCACTCCAGCATTACAAGCTGCAACAAGAAGTTCGACGCCATCTTTGCTTGCCGGGTTCGTTGCTAAGAACGCCCTTTCCTTTTTTCTTATTTCTTCTTTCATTTTCAAATGTGTTTTCCAATAAAAAAGTTTTCATTACGCTCTTTTGAAACTTTGCCTGAAGTATATTCGTCATTATATTTAATACCTAGGCATTATTTAAAATGCCTAGGCATAGTATGTAACATAATCTAAAAAATCAAATATTTCCTACTTTCCCTAAAAACTGCAGGATTCTATCGAATGCCTAGGCATTTTATACAATGCCTGCATTTCACACATTGCCGTATCATATATATTTAATGCCCTGTCCAAAGAATTCAATAAAACCATTAAAGAATTTTTTTTTTAGATATAAAGACAATATAATTAAACTTTTAATCATTTTTATAAATCGTTACAAATAGAGTTTAAAGCTACGTAACAAATAACACCATGAAAAATACAAAATAAATAAACAATTATAAATTCATTAAAAATTTTGGAATCTACAATTATGATTCAAAATTGAAATAAAATCACACTTAAAATTTGCATACACGCGCACCAAAAGCTGAATCGGCAATTCTATTCCATTTTGATGACATAATGACTTTCTTGACATGTGGAATGTTAATGTCTCCTAATTTGAATGACAGAGTGTCACTTTAGAAGAACATTGATTAGTTGTATGGGAGTTTTTGATGTGAAACTTACTGGACCAGGATGGTATATGATGGTCTATGATGGTCAATGATGGTCTATGATGGTCTATGATGGTATATGATGGTCTATGATGGTCAATGATGGTCTATGATGGTCTATGATGGTATATGATGGTCTATGATGGTCTATGATGGTCTATGATGGTCTATGATGGTCTATGATGGTCTATGATAGTCTATGATAGTCTATGATGGTCTATGATGGTCTGTGATGGTCTATGATGGTCTATGATGGCCTATGATGGCCTATGATAGTCTATGATGGTCTATGATGGGCTATGATGGTCCTCTATGATCCACGATGGTCTATGAAGGTCTATGATGGTCCATGATGGTCTATGATGGTTTGTGATGGTCTATGATGGTCAACGATGGTCTATGATGGTCCACGATGGTCTATTGTAAATATTTTACAATATTTGCACACACAAATACTTTGAATTGAAATTGTCTGGATATGTTAATTGCATGGTTTAATTTTTGGAAAAACTTGATAGGGATATTCATCAACTTTTAGACATTCAGAATCCGTCGATGTTTCAACATATATACAATTCATCGTTACCCGAGACAATTGTATTTTATATGTACACAAATTTAGACTTCTGATAAAATTTGTGATAAACTATTTTTTTTACTGATTCTTAGAAATATGTTGAATAAACGTTGTACATAATCTTTAAATAAATCAAGAAGAAAATATTGAATATCTTGATGAAGTTTATTTCACAAACTTAGGTGATAATGAATGTGATAAGCTCACACATAAAAACTAAATATTATTTAAATGAATGTGATAAGCTCATGCACAAAAACTAACTATTATTTCCAATTCAAGTCAAATACAAATCAAAGGTCTGATTTATATCACTATTGTTATTTGTTATTTTTTGTGGTTTCTCATTATGCTGAGCCACACTCCTATCGTAGGTGCTTGACAGATGACACTTGTTATTAGTTAATATTAGATCTCAGGCCAACTTAATACCAAATAGTCTATGAGAATAATTATATGAGGATTACAATTAGGCTCCAAGTCTATGAGAATAATTTAATGAGCATTACAAGTAGGCTCAAAATCTATGAGAATAATTATATGAGGATTACATATAGACTCAAAGTCTATGAGAATAATTATATGAGGATTACAATTAGCCTCAAAGTCTATGAGAATAATTATATGAGGATTACAATTAGCCTCCAAGTCTATGAGAATAATTATATGAGGATTACAAGTAGGCTCAAAGTCTATGGGAATAATTATATGAGGATTACAAGTAGCCTCCAAGTCTAGGAGAATAATTATATGAGGATTACAATTAGCCTCCAAGTCTAGGAGAATAATTATATGAGGATTACAAGTAGGCTGAAAGTCTATGAGAATAATTATATGAGGATTACAATTAGGCTCCAAGTCTATGAGAATAATTATATGAGGATTACAAGTAGGCTCAAAGTCTATGAGAATAATTATATGAGGATTACAATTAGGCTCCAAGTCTATGAGAATAATTATATGAGGATTACAATTAGGCTCCAAGTCTATGAGAATAATTATATGAGGATTACAAGTAGGCTCAAAGTCTATGAGAATAATTATATGAGGATTACAATTAGGCTCCAAGTCTATGAGAATAATTATATGAGGATGACAATTAGGCTCCAAGTCTATGAGAATAATTATATGGGGATTACAAGTAGGCTCCAAGTATATGAGAATAATTCAATGACGATTGCAAGT